TAAGAGCTGTTTGACAGTGGAACACACTCCTTTGGAGAGTGGTGGAGTTCTATTTGGAGGTCTTTAAACAGAGACTAGAGGCTTTGATTGTGAGTTCCTACATAGCAGGGGCTTGGATTGGACGGCCTTTGTGGTCTCTTCCAACTCTATGATTCTATGAATTGTACTTAATTTACATTCTGTGTTGGCATCAGTTTAAACAAAAGCAGCTACTGCACAGACTGACTATGAAGTCAGCGTGGATACATTCAGGACAAAGCTTGGACTGTCCAAGTAGAATTTATCTCTGCGTGAGGCCTCTGAATCTAGATTTACAACATGATATAGCAGCAAGATCTCTTGCTGATATCTGGGGTATCAAAGAATCCAAGGGTTTGTCTACACAAACCAAATGAAATAGTCTCACCTTGTTTTCACTACAAGCAGTTCAGATGACATGGGAGGATTCAGGCCAAACCCAGGTCTTTTGAGCACTTCAGGGCTTTAATTGGGAGGGGGGAGTTGTTATTTGTCTGTGTATCTGTGGGGCTGGGAGTGGGAGAAGTGTATGGTGGACAGGACTGGTCAGGTTTGGCAAGTGTGGTGTGTATCACCATGTTTTTCTGCATCAGTGTCTGTCCAGCCATGGGAATAATGGTGAGGGGTTAGATCAGTTTACACCCTCCCCTCCTGCCCTCCTGACCAAGTGTCACATTTGTTATACTGTTTGTACTATTCTCCCGTATCCTTCCCTTTCCCACCTGATCAGTGTTGTGTTGTGTTTGTTTTTATTTCAGTGATTGAACCATATACATTACCTCTCCCCCTCCCACCCCATCACTCACTTGTGCAATTGCACACACTCCCATCCCCATCATTCATTCATGTGATTTCATACACTCCCTCCCCCACATTCATTCACATAGAGATCTGTAATGTGTGTACGAAGGGATAAGGGTAGGAGGGGCGTATGATCAAACAAGCCAGTGAGTGAATGATAGGGCAGGGAGAGTCAAAACAAAGATGACACAATGCTGATCAGGTAGAGGGGGTAAGTTGAGGGGAGAAGAGTACAAACAGTAAAATAAACATAACACTTGGCCAGGAGGGAGGAAGAGAGATGGAGAAGCCTAATCCCTCACCACTGCTTTCAAGGCTGTACTGTTTCATAAATGAAAGACAAATAAAATGCACTATTTTTTCTTTCTCTGTCTCATGTGTGGTTGTTGTTATACACCCTAAAGTCAATCTCAACCCATGGTAACCCTGTAAAGGAGACATCTCCAAGACTTCCTATCCTCCACTGCTCTGCTCAGGTCCTGCAAATTCATACCCATGATGTCCTTAATAGTCCATCCATCTAGCATGCGGCCTTCCTCTTTTTATGCTTCCCTCCACCTTTCCTAGCATTGTTTTTTCCAGTGAGTCCTGTCTTCTCATTATGTGTCCAAAGTATGACAGCCTCAGTCTAGTCATCTTGGCTTCCAGAGAGATTTCTGGTTTGATCTGCTCTAGGACCCATTTGTTTGTCCTTTTGGCTGTCCATGGTAACCTCAGCACTCTTCTCCAGTACCACATCTCAAATGAATTGATTTTCTTCCTGTCCACTTTCTTAACTGTCCACCTCTCACATCCATACATGGTAATAGGGAAGACAATGGTTTGTATAATTCTAATTTTCGTACTCAGTTGTATGTCTTTACATTTTAGGATATTTTCTAGTTCTCTCTTAGCTGCCCTCGCCATTCTTAGTCTTCTTCTGATTTCCTGGCTGCAATTCCCATTCCAAGCCTGGGAAGGAGGGAAACAGTGGGTTTGCCAGAGGGAGATGTGTGGCTGGTTGTGTCAGTGTTACTTCAAAGTGCTTTGTGTGTGTGGACGACAGGATCACTGGGAAATCCCTGCAGACCAGGAAAATACAAGGTGATACCTATTATTATCACCAGCATAGAAGCACCTCAAATCCAAGTTGCGTGGCTATAGTATCGTTGTGGAAAAAAAACAGGTTTCTTAAAATTACACTGATAAGGAGTGAATTAATCAAAGCAATATAAATCATTCACCACATAAGAGTAATTTAGATACATGACAGACTGCTAAATGCTTACAGTTCCTGTGGGAATAGTCTCTCCCGTTCCGAGAAGGAGATTTAGCAACTAACCCAGGCTCCTAAGAAACATGTCAACAATACAAACCTGAGAACAGACTGAACAGCAACATGAGATAAGAAGAGTAATCCTTCAGTAGTGTATTTATTTGCACTGAATAGAGAAAAACATACTGGGAAAACTAGAATTCGAATACAGATTTTATTATGAAAATTATAAATGCTTACATACTTTATATTTTTAATGCACAGAAAGAAAACTCTTATAAAGCTGCTTTTCAAGAAAACACATTCTTCCATGTTTTGGAATATGCATGGGCATGTCTGCAATCCCAGACACAGGAAATCATATTAATTACATTCTAATCAACCTGAAAACATAGTGCTACACAGGGGCTGCTTTCAATTGGACTGCATTGCAGCTGCTTTCTGTAACAAAGTAGTCATGTACAGACATTCATTATACAGACCCTCCAGCTTTTACATCAGTACAAACCACATAAAGATTTTAAAAGGTACACTGACATTCACACATCCAGCACAATAGAAGTGATTCCCTTGTGATACAAAACAGTCACTATGTGATAAAAAAAAATCAATATTATTTTCTATTTGCTGATGTACTCTTTGGTTGGGTTCTGTGTGCATCTGATTATTTGCCAGTTCAGTGGCATGAAGAAACAAAGGGTTGCCATGAGTACAAATAGGGATACTTTCAGGCTTCATGTTGCCAACTCTGAATTGAATGGCTACTTTAATTGAATGTTTTACAAATTTCTACCTTCAGGAAATCTTCCCAAAATAACTTGCCTTGCCTAATAAGAATCTCTGAATCTCTACGGGCAACTGCTCCACCGCCCTCTTTTGCAGGTTGCACTCTCTGGCAATAACTACTACATATTATGTTTGGACAAGCCCACATTTGGGAATAGTTTTGCTTTTAATCTTTCATATTTCTAGGCCATTACTCTTGACTCCCCATGCAGTAGAAGTGCACCTGGCTTGGATGCTCCACCACCCCCAGTCAGTCCCTAATGCCCTCCCCAACCATTTACTGCAGTTGATGGTTTTATGAATACTGATGTTGCTAATCAAATACCAATGGCCAAAGAGCTCCCTAGCATCAGATATGAATCCTTTTCCCACAGTTCCCAGTTCCACAGTTGGTTTGGACTACTTAGCCTTCAGTTCTGGAGAAATGTGCAGTTTTCTGTATGCTCAATTTGTATCTGCCTTCATAAAAGCATATGATCTGTCAGAGCAAAGAGTGTAAATTAGTGCACCCAATAATTTCCACAGTCTTCTGGATTTGCTATCCAGAAATTGCTATTATTAACAGCACAATCCTATACATATCTACACAAAAACATGGAAACAGTCCTACTGAGCTGAATGGTACTCATTCCCAGGGAAATACAGGACTGCAGGCTGCAAACATGTACTAGAAGGAGGAACCACTGAGTTCATTGAAACTTTCTCTCAAGAAAGTGTTTAAACCCAAATTACTTATTGGATATATCTTAAAGCAGGGATAGAGGGCATCTGACCCTACAGCTGTTTAGACTTCAACTCTCAAAACACCAGCCCAATGGTAAGGGATTATGGAAGTCACAGCCCAAAACATCTAGAAGACCAAAGCTTCCCCTCTCCCACTGTA